TCATTAAACTACCAAATATGTGCCCTACAATTTTCTCGGTAGGATGTTTAACGTAGACTAGTGTTTATCAGGAATATAATATCTAGTAAATAACATCTTCACGTCAAAAGCTCTCAAAGATAACTTTTCTTATAATCGGTCAGAAGCTTTTTAGATTTTCAATTGAAATTCAAAGCCGCTTTTTAGATTCCTATGAAATTAACAATAATTTAAAAACATGTTTTACAAATATAAACATTTATTGAATAAAATTTCCACCAGTTTTTATTTGCCATTAAAGATAGCTTTACACACTTATCCCCCACATTAACTTTAATTGTGTATAATTCCAGGTACAAAAAACAAGTACAAAATCGTGCAATTCACATAAAAAGGGGTACAAAGTTTTCACTTCACGTAATGTAATTAGGAATTAATAAAAATAAACATAGATGTCTCACGTCTCCCGCGGGTCCTTGACGACCAATTTTTTTTCCTGCTTTAATGAGTTCACTTCGCTGGAATCTAGATTGGAGCTCAGCGAATTTACGGCCGTCGCCGTTGCTGGGGCGAAGGCGGCGCGTTCAAATCATTACGAGCACGAATTAAGTCGTAAAGCCGCGTCACTTACAGCGCCTCGGAAACACTGTTTTATCTTGTTAAAAGATATCTGCATTAAGAGTAGGTATTCACTGTTGACACATTTGTGTAAAAAATGTCGCCATCCCTTACGTTCCATTAAAAAAAAGACTATATATAATCTTGTTAAATAAATACTTGGATATCATTGTCCATCTGACAAAAAGCTAATGTTTCTCTGTGATTTGGTATGTAATATATGGATATAAGTTCCATTGAGACTTATAACTAAAACGGCCTTACGGACTTTCAAGTATGGAATTTTATTAGAGTCCTCTAGTGTATTAACCGAAGTGCTACAGGGATGAAGTAAGTTGGTCATTTGGTTTTAGTTTTACTAGCAATTCGGCTCAGCTTCGCCTTGGTAGCAAGGAATATTCATCTACAATAATACTAATATTCTAAAGAGGAAAGATTTGTTTTTGTATCTATTGAAATAACACAAAAACTACTGGGCGGATCTCAAAAAATCTTACACCACAAAAGCTACGTAACCGCTGAGTAACATAGACTATATTTTTACAATTTTTTTAATTCCACCCGGACGATTACGCGTAAATTTTCTGTCATATTCATACCCTTTGATGTGAAATATAGCCTTTTACTATATTGTGGCTTTTCAATGGCGAAAGAATTTTTTCAATCAGTTCAGTAGTTTCAGAGCCTATTCAATGTAAAAAATAATCAAACTTTCTCCTTAATAACATTAGTATAGTTACATTTATTGCTGTTTTTCTAAATTAACGTTAAAGCTATGAATGCAATTTACATTTGAAAAGCTACGTAGCTTCGGAAGCTATTAAATGAATGAATGGGTTTTGTGTCTTATATAGGAAGTAAGAAGCGTTCTAATTCATTATTAAATAACTAACTGTTGACCGCGGCTCCGCTCATGCAATATTAAGAAAAAAAAGTAGCCTATAAAATGCCTGTCTATGTCGGCTACCCTTTAGTGAAAGTCTGGTCGAAATCCGCCCAGCCGTTTGGAGATTCCCTGAAACCATCGCGGCTTGCGAACGGACAGACAGCCAAAAAATATTAAATGCGATATTTGTTATTAACAACGCAAATACATCATCTTCCCGAACTCGGGAATTTTTCTTTTGATGTTACAAACGGACACTCTAATTTTATTATATGTATAGATATAGATTATATATGCATTTTAACTGATAAAAACAGACCTCAATCCAAAATCGAATGCGCTTTAGCGAATACAACATTTTTGTACGAATTTTAGAAAAAACACATTTTATTTTCGTAAAACTGGATGAATGTTATTTAAAGAGGAATTGAAATGGGCTCTCGTATTTTAAATATATGAAATGGAATAAATAAACGCAATATTTTGATAAATCAAGAGAGTGATTCAAATGAACTATTTCACTTTTGATTTAACATTTTTCATGTTTGCAAGCGACGGTAACAAATGTTAATTATAACATATTTATATCGATATATAAACATAACTTTTATGAATGCTTTCATTACGCGTTTTAATTTATTTAACAGTTACACATCAAATATATTGCTATTTGATTTCATGTTTTAAATTTATGTTTACAGTTCTTTAAGTATGTCTAAAAATATAACACAGATAAACTATCTTTTAGACATTTTACCTATGGATTTCCACTGTCCAAAACTTGTATTAAAACTAGGTTATACCATTTTCTGTGAAAATTAACAAGATAAATTACTGCTACATAGTAATAATTTTATGGGGGATGTAAGAATTATAACCACAATTAGTTGTTATTGTGATTTTTGACCAGGAAAAGTCACTAATGTTTTAAAATAATAGCCCATAATATAAAATGCTTTACAAATATACACAAACAAATATCGATAACGAACGAATTAGTTAGGGTTTAGTTTACGTGAGTCATCCCTCTTTGTACAAATATAAAATACTAGCTTTCGCCCGCGACTCCGTCCGCGTGGAATTAAAAAAAAACAAAAGCGAGTATCTATGTGTTCCAGACTATCCTCTACATCTATGCTAAATTTCATCAAATTCCGTTCAGCCGTTTGGGCTTCAAACTCTAACAAACATCCCTCCATGCATATAAACTTTCGCATTTATAATATTAGTAAGAAATGTAAATATCAATATAAATGTTAAATTAAACTTTAGTGAAAAGTGATTTGTTTTATTGACCAGTTAACCATTTGACCATTAAATTTTCATTACAGGGTTTGATTGTTCGAAAATGTTAGCTCATACTAATTACAGTAAAATATCAAGTCCCCCGTCCGACCTCTCAGTTCTCGTATCACTTACTTCCCCATAAATAAAAAGTTGGCGCAATCACTGAAGCGAAGAGTAATTTGTAACTCTGTTCCCAAAGGATTAAACTTTGCATCGAGAATAAAGTGGGATGATATATTTTTTTTAATTTAATATTATCGGCATCATCCATCCATCTAAACTTTCGCATTTATGACATTAGTGAGATTTGGTGTAACGTCATGTTAAACAATATGACTATACATTATATACCATAGATAAAAAATATATTTTTTTACAATAAAATTAGAAATTCATTTTGAATTCATCCACATGTAGAAAACACTCAAAACGCTTTTGTTTTATTTTTAATAAACTGAAATAGTGCTCTGAATATTTTGTTTCTGCAACAATTAATCCAAGCGCGCTTTCGCAAAAGCTTTCGGTTCCATGGCATGTACACGGTGTTCTAGATATACGCTCCATGATGCAGGATACTATATATATAAATCGCAAAAAAACTTAAATAAACTTACGTACATACTATTGGCCTCTTCCGTTCCAATCTTCCATACATCTTATCCACATCCTCATTCACATAATCTATCTAATCTTTGATCTTCTTCGCCCTTTGTACACATACACATTTAACCTTATTACTTTTTGTTTGTGTGATCCTCTCTCCGCACAATTACACTTATCATTTGGATAAGATAAAGTTGTTGTCAAAACTAAGATTATAGTGTCGATATCAACTAGTCTCAACAAACAAGATAAAACAATATGCTGATCACTTAACAGACATGAACTTCGGGTAAAACAAAAATAGAATTTATTCGTAAAATACGCGGCGCGACGAATAAAGTTTCCGAACGTGCCTCCTGTCCTCTTTAACTTCTACAAAGCGATAAATAAGGATAAATCCTAAGTCTCTTTAGAGACAACCACCTACATTTCCCACAACTTACATTTTATGATTCTGAAAAATCGGAGATTGTTAAAAAGTTTATTGCATTTAATATAAACATTTATGTTCATTGGCAATAGCAAAAAAATGTTGCCTCTTTTTTGCTGCGTAAATACGAGAGGCAAAAAGGTTTTTTTTTTATATATGTTATCTTGCTTTTCATAAAGCAAGCACAATATGAAAATAAAAAGTTCAATAATATTTTGCTGTTTTATTTGTGTTTCTTTTTGTTTCAATATTTTAGTTGTGCCCTGCACTGTCGATACTATTACAATCGTTTTATGTCCTAAAGCCAGTCTTAAAATAACCGTACTACGCGAATAGCCAAATCACATACACATGGCTAATGACTATTAATTAATTAATTACTTTGTATCCAAAGTAACAAGGACGATATTGGCATTTACTGTTCATATTTTATGATCAGAGGATCTAATCATAATTGACATTTTTAATCTTTACAGGACCATTGCCTGTTCTAATAAACGAGTTGTAGTTTCACTATTAACTGTTAGCCAAAAATAACTGTCGATAGCCAAAATGCATTTCCCTTTTAGAAAGTTCATTGGACGCTAATTTAGATTTCTCGTATAAGGCTCATGATGTTACTCGATGGTGATTTTTATAACGACCTAGAAGGAAAAGGGTCAGTAATTTAGCGGAAATGAAACGGTCATTTACAATGACAAAGGACCTTTTTAAGATGAAAGAGTTTATAGTGATTGTAATTTATTAATGTTTAAAAATAAAGTCGTTCGATACCTACCGACAAGCAACAACCTTGGTAACCACCATAGTTTGTTCATGTTTAAATCAAAGTTTTTTTTATAAAAATACGTAAACATTTGTGCAACCGATTTAACAACGAAAAAACAAGAGGCGTTTCATAAGATTGCTTCTTTTACTCTAATAGCTTATGTAAAATGTCACCACCATTCAACTTCACTACAAGTATAAAGGAGAAGTTTTTAAATCCTATAAAAATTCTTGAAACTCCTATTAAGGTAAATAACAACCGCAAGAAAGAACAAAGAAAATTACACATCATTAAAGCCTTAAGTAGTTAGTTAACACTTTTAACAAAACTTTCCCTGTAACTTATTTCACTTAGATAGTTTACTTGATTACTACTTAGGACGTATGCTATACAGTGTTTTAGTTACTCTAGCTTGAACAGGTACAAAAATGAGAGATTTTAATATTTTAAAGAGCTTTAGCCAGAAAATTTATTTCGTCGGTTCTGGTAATTTCTGGTACGAGGGCGAAGTTGGAGATGATCGTAATTCGATTTATAGGATCTATAGCGTAATCTTGTTCTTTATTTATGGCTCTATGACGGTCTTGGAAATATTTGCTGCTCTTTTCGGAAATTTCCCTAAAGATGAAAAAGGTGATTGCGTAACTTTCGCTGTAAGTCACACCATCGTTATGATAAAGATGTGCTACGTCATTGGCAACAAGCAGCTTATCCGCAAATTAAATTACGATATGGCGACAGTCTGCGAAGAATTCGAGGAAACGTCGTTGCAGACAAAGAAGTATTACAATATTAAAGTAAATCTCATTGCATATTTTGTGGCAGTCTACTTTTCAGCCGCTTGTTTTGTGTTTGAAGGATTAAGAAAAGTTAAGGAAGGTAAGTTTAATGCCTATTATGTTAAACAAAACTTACTCGTACAGTTTATCATCATCTCCTTGTATGGGCGATGCAAAGGGAGTTTGGTAGCAACAACCCCCCCCCCCATCCTTGAAGAGCATCTACAAAATGAAAAATGGATACAAAAAGACCACGCATAAGACCATATTAATGGTACCTTACCCATCTTGTTTCATTCTACAGATCGATCATTTGTCTTTTCAGTCGCCGTTCCTTTGTAGCACCTGACCTTATCGCAACTCATCCATATCTTATTCTTTTTAATCTCTCTCTATATGTTTATAATTTATATTCTTTTCTCTTAACATCATCTTCCTCCTTATCCTACTCCCGGAGGGTCGACGCAACAGGTTTTTGTTTTCCACACAACCCTATCATTCTTCATCTTAGTCATCACTTCCTGTTGATTATGTCACATTTCACTCAATCCATCCATCTCTTTCTAGATCTACCTCTACCGATGTACCTCCACACTCAAAACTAACGTTCTCCTTGTTACATGCGATTCATAATTATGCTGTATCTACTAAACGTTACTTCTGGTTTGAATTATATTAGATTCTGATTCATTTCAGGTTCTCACTTTGTAACCATCGTGACATATTATCCTTCTTTCGAAGATGATTCGTTTCCAGCGACTGTATTTAGAATTTACTGTACAATTGTACTGTTTATGATGATGCTATCGATGATAATGACAGTGGATGCTTTTACAATGGTCAACCTGATTATTTTTAAATACAAAATTATAACATTGAGAAGATACTTCGAAAGGATAAGCCAAGATTTCAAAGAAATGCATAAAATTAACCAGAGATTGGCTGTTGAACATTTAGCAAAAGGATTAATAAAAGGGTTTAAGGTGAACAAGGAACTTTTGAGGTACTTATCCACGAGAAAAAAAATATTTAAAACCGAAACTTAAAGTTTTAAATAATGTGTGTTTATTTTTTCAGAATATTAAAAGACATTGATAAAGCATTTGGATTTGTGATCGCGTTACAACTATGTCAAAGTTCCGGTTCCGCTGTATCTTTATTGTTACAAATGGCGGTAAAAAAATTTAAATAACTTTATAGATAGTAACTACTGTTAAAAAGTTGATTTGGTCTATTTCTTTTATCTTTGTTGCTTTCTTTGCCTCTGTCTTAAATTAACAAAGCTATATTTATCACTCCAATACAGATTTCTGATGAACTGACATTCGTGGGAAAGTTGAAGATAATGTTTTTCGTCATCGCTCTCTTTTTCCTTTTGGGTCTATTTCTTTGCAATGCCGGGGAAATCACGTATCAGGTAAAGTGTATTGGACTAACATGCACAAACTTACGCCATGATCACATGATCATCTTCTTTTGTGGAAGGACTAGATTTTATATATGTTTCGGCTACATTTTTATGGCTGGCCGTATGTCTGTCGCCAAACCTACTTAGAAATAACGCCTTGATCCTTCAGACAAAAAACTATTGCTTTTTAAATATGACTGACTAAAATAAGATATCCCGTGGATTTACTTTCTGATTAATAACGTTCATTTGATGAATAAAATAATAGCGTAATACTTTGAATTTTTCATATTACTTTGCACGTACGACCACTAAAATACGTGTCACTTGATGCTTCATTGAAACTGCTAGAAAATGAAGTGTGGGATAAGCATTGTCAAACTAAGGGATAGGACAACAAATAGTGTCTTAGTGAACAAAACTTTATCCAAGTTTTCCTCTTCACAGACACCTGAATCTTTTGTGGTTAAATTGCACAAGACGTAGACGATCCCAATTTGAAACTCCGCTAAACAAAGTCTTCGGGAAAGTTTGTTAAAGTACCCTCGGAAACATTTTGGGGGAATAATTAAATTTATTTCTTTATTTTTCGCAGAGTGCGCAATTAGCGGATTCTATTTTCTACTGCGGCTGGCATGAGTGTCTTTGGGAATACCAACCTGAGGGCAAAAAGATAGGTCAGATGGTCTTGATAGCTTGCATGCAAGCGCAAAAACCTCTCGTTCTCAAAGCTTTTAAAATGATAGAACTTACTTATGGGACATTTTTATTGGTATGATCACTACAATGTAATTCTATGTAAGATTTGAAAGTTTCCTTCTAAGATTATCCTGAAACTACAGAAGCCATATTAAAAAAATACAGTTGTCTAACCTAATAAAGATTACAGATAAATGGAAAATGAAGTTGAACCGTTAAATCCTTGAGCGCCTAACTCATTTTCTGAATCTGCGAATTAAGATGAAGTTTTGTGACATTATAAGCTTTCATTTTTGAGATTTATTAACGCAGTAACGCAGGTTCAGATGAGAGTTAAAGTCTAGATTTGCCATGCCAAAACGGCACGGAAAGATAAGCAGTGCAGACGTAACTTCCTATTTCTATCCCTTTCATTACCTTAAGGCAATCCTTAAGTGTGCTATTATTATGTTATTAACAATTGATTTTCTTTACAGGTCATAAAAACGACTTATTCAATTTTTGCTTTGTTCAACGCACAAAGCGGAAAATCTGAATATAAATAGTAAAGTTTAGAAAATTAACACAACAAAAAAAAGCTTTTTTTAAGAAATTACTCAGGCAAATATATTTATTGAGAGCACAAACAAAAATGTTAAGTTTAAAATTCACACAACTATATAAGAAAATCTCAGCTAACGAAAGGTCTACTCAACTCTGGGTTAGAACAAAGATTTGTTGAAATAAATGTAGAAATCAATGCGTGTAACTTAATTCACTAATTTCGATAACACTGTGAGGTTTACTAAACCGCTTTAGAGTTCGTTTCGATCAACTCTCGAAAACTTTCAGCGTTGTCGGCGCTGAAGCCTGACTTCACGATATTTAAGCTCACGATATTGCACTAGAACTCCGACAAGCTTCGGTGATAAGCCATAAAACCGCACTTTCCCGTTCATCCGTCGATTAGAGTATTAATATCCGACTTTTCATTGGACATAGTATTATATAATAAGATTACTGCTTTAAAAATAAATAATATTTGCCGAAATCCATAATTCTTTAACATGAATTTTTGTTTATTTAGAATGAATATTTGACGTTGTTTGTTATGTTTGTTTGTAATATTAGTTATAATAAATTTTACTAAAGCATAGTTTTAAATGAAATAATCCGGTACGTTTGTAGTTAGTTGCTTTCTATACGTAATACTCAGATATCTTTAATAATTACGTCAGAAGTTCTTAGTTCGTTAAGTAAAGTTCCTACACTCATGAATTATTTTCATCTCATAATTTTTGTGCATAAATTAAAAAAGTATGCGTTCCCGTCTTTGTTTTATTTCATTCTACTTTTTCGTAGTTTACAAGAAAATGCTTTTAGAGCGAAACTACTGAACGTCGTACACTCACTACAATTTTTCTTTTACTGAATCTTTTCTGTGAGGATACAATAGTTATTAATATTCATTTATAACCCCACTAACACCCACGGTTTCTCAGTAAAAATGGAAAATAACTAGCTAACTAATTAAATTTTCTGTCCAATTGTAAACTTGAACTTGGAGCGAGAAATATCTCTCTATAAGCGAGAGTCATTGTCAAGTCCAGATTTTTTAGCCTCAACCCCTATAAACGAAAGTCTTTAACCAATTTTTGTGCGCCGCAAGTGACATGAAATGCTTATTGATAGACAATATCCCTTGTTCCACGAAAGTCCCTATAATACAAAAGATGTATCTCACATTATGCTCTAAAACATGTGTAGAATTTGGTATTTTTATATTTGCAAGAGTTTAATGTTTACTTGAGATGAATAGAGATAAAAATACGAAAATCATAAATTACGGTCGTAAATATAAGTCTAATAAATGCATTTTTAATTACGCTGCTTCTGTGGTGAATCTTATTACTATAATGAAAAATGAAACTATAAAACATTTTCGAAATCGCGGCATAAATAAAAGCTACAGTGATTTATTACAAATGAAACGCCACAGCTCGCCCCAAAGGTTCGCCCGCAGCAACGACGCTGCAGTATGCTGCGGACAAAGGAGAAAACAATGTTAACTTCTTTATTTGAATGACAAGATTTATGCGATTTTTACTCAGAAGGAACTTTTAAAATGAATTATTATAATAATGGTAACTTCATTATCCGTTGTATTGAAACCACCGACTCCTTATTTTCCGGCAGAATTATCAAAGCGATGGATAACTATAAAAAGAAGTGAAAGTGCGAACTTATGAAAAGAAGATATATTTTTTAGTCACTTATGAAATATGTGTATATCAATATCGTAAAAAATCTATTACATTACTTAAAAGTATTTTTAATGAAGTAAGTCTTTAAATGGTAATAAAATTAGAAAATCACAAGTAATAATCTGGCTGTATCGCCATAACACCAAGCGTCGTAAACTGACATTTCTCAGAAAAAAGAAATAATTTTGGCATTACTTTGACATTGACATTTGACACTTTGACAGTAGACAGCTGATATATTTTCTTATTAAAATAGTTTAAGATTACGACCATTTATCTTATTTATTAGTTTAACAAAAATGACAGACAATGCTCAGAAAATGTATTCGCGTTTAGAGTCTTTTAAAAGAAATATCTCATTTTATACCAAGCGTAAATCTTTTAGGTATGGTTTACCATTTATATTGTTTGTTGTCGGCGGTTCCTTCGGTTTAAGAGAATGGACACAAGTAAGGTACTTATATCGTTGTCAACTATAAGATATTCCGTTCTTAAGGTTAATTAGTAGCATGTATAAAAAGACGTTAAAAGTCAGGTTTAATATAAACAAGTGTGCATATTTTATTTGAACAGGTATCAGTTTTCACAAGTTAAAGGTGTGTCCAGAGAGGAAGCTGAAAAAATGGGCCTGCATAAAACCAAAGAAGTTACTTTAGAAAAAACTTATGAAGAAATACAGAAAATTGATATAGACAATTGGGAAAACAAAAGAGGACCTAGGCCGTGGGAAATGCAAGAACAGAAAAAATAATTACAATTAGTACTGCTTAGTTAGTTATAAGTATTAGTTAGTGTAAATAAATGTAATTGCACAATATCTATTTTTTTTAATAAACAACATTTCCCTAATAAATACAAATTAAACATACCCAAGCTAAATGCAGAGCCCAGGACAGAGCAAGCTGGCGGCGTACTGTGGACGCCCTCTGCCCCACTTTGGAGACATAGAAATAGAAGAGAGAGAAGCTAAATACAACAAGTATTCATTAATTACATCTTACCAACTCCCCCTACCTCATCCAACTCTTTAGGGATCGTCGCTCCGGGTTTTGTCCTCCAAATAACTATCATCTGTCATCTCAATGAAGACTTCCTTCTTGGTCATATCACCTTTTACACAATCTCTCCGTCTCTAGGTCTGCCTCTACCAGTATACTCCTTTACATAATTGTATTGTATGTAAGAAATCATGTAAGTCATAAGAGCAATTATTTTATTACTAATGATTCTAGACAAGCCCTTGCCTGAGGTTTAAGTTCGAAACATGGTTTGCCACTTCTTGAATTTTGAACTAAGTTATGGATAAACCAAAGGTTTTTTTTTGCCACAAATCTCGATAATCAAAGAGATGAGTAGCTGGTAACTTAATTGCAAGACTAATTTAAAATAGAGTAAAAAAACATATTCTTAAAAGGGGAATCTTTATTAAGCAGTAGTTTATTAATTGCTAGCTGTTGCCCGGCTAAACACTGTCTGGCTAGGCCACCTCAAGCCCGGTGAATCTGTAAATATCTCTTCAAGGCAAACAGTGCAAACTCAGTCTAAAAAACTATCTTTGACATTGGTAAAATTATCAGCAATTTTATTCATATATCTCGCCAAATAATAAGGAGATTGAAAGGGTTGAAATGAAACAATTTCAATATTATTATATTTTATTTCATGCTTTAAATATTCAGTGTGATAATGATAATGTAGTTTGAATATGCATTAATGGTTATAATATTAAATTATATAAATAATGTTTTCTATATAAAAACAAAAGTGCAAATATGATTCGAACAAATATCGACATTTTATCTTATATTATAAAAGAGCATTATATTCTCAGAATAATCTATATAACATTGTGGTCTACTGATGTGAAATTATTGGGTGAATACCATATTAAGTGTGTTGAGTTTATTGAGTGTTGTTAGTTTATTGAGTGTTGTTAGTTTATTGAGTGTTGTGAGTTTAGTTAAGTGCGGTGGATGTTAGCAGGGCTACGCCTCGCTCGTAGAACGCGTGCTGCTCCTGTCCCGCCGCGATGGAGAGCCGCACAGTGAACAGTAGCTCTGAACGCGCACTGTTCAAGTACACCGGGAGCGTCAGCGTCTGACTGGTCACCGGCTCCTCGGGACCACTACAAAAGCATATTAATGTCAAAAAAAAGATATACTGGAATTTTTATTAGAAAAAAAAAAATTAAATTGGTATTAAAAAACATGTATCATGAATATTACAGGAGTCTCGTGTTGTATTTTTAGTATGATAAATTTACAGTAAACAATGGTTAAAGTGATCATTAAATGATTCAAGTAAGGCAGGTAATCTGATTTCTCAAGATTATTTACTATTTGTAGTAGTAATTTAAGGGTTATTTGTTTTTAGTAATTTAAGGGTGTGTGGACATACCGGACCCATGTGAGCACGGTGATGGGCAGGTCCATCATGATGGTGTTGGTGAGCAGCAGCCGGTTGCCCTTGACGGTGGCTCCCTGCAGCTTCAGCCCCGTCACTGAGAACGACCACTCCGTCTGCGCGTTCTCCGTCGGCGTTCCAGGGTCGGGTATTGTCACCTGCAGAATACAAGTTAAATGTAATGTAACAAACATATTAAATATTCTGAACTATTTATTTGTCTATTTATTTTATTTAAAACTGAATAGTTTGATCATTTTCATTTCAATATACCTGCAAGTGCAGTTCCTCCAGAGACCAGGAGTTGGCCTGCGCGACGCACTGCCGCGTCGCCGTGATGTACGCTTCGGGGTTGAGCAGACCGCCCAACCAAATGGGTATACTCTGCAAATAAAAAGATAGTTTTTTTTACAATAGTTTTTAGGTCTTACTAGAAGTGTTGTCTTAAACACTTATGTATCACACATAGGTATAATTCGTAATTGAAGTCTATTTGATAGCAATCATATTAAATACTAGCTGTTGCTCTCGATTGTGTGAAACTAAAAACAGTATAAATGATAGCCAATGTAACTCACTAATAAAGTAGCTTTTTTAAATCCAACAATTTTTGAAATCGATCTAGTAGTTTTTGAGTTATTTTAAGACATACAAAAATACAAATTTACTCTCTTTATAATATTAGCATAGATGTAAGCATACCTGTAGCCTCTTGGCGCCGCGCTCGGCGACCGCCTCCGAGACGGCGGCGAGCTGCTGCACGCGCGAGGCGAAGTCTCCCGTCCACTGCTGCACCGTGCAGCCGCGCGCCACCGCATAGCGCCGCCACGTAGCCGGCAGAATGCCGCGCACCAGCGCGCCCACCATCGACCGCGTCTCGTTCGTCTGTTTCATCTCGCCCTGACACACACACACCAATACTCACCACACAGACCACAGAAACAGTAGCGTCGTAAGCACCGCTTACAATCTGACGAATGTCAAAATGTTAATAAAAGGTGTCTTGTTGAGCGGTTATCATTTAAGACGCTGTTACATATGGTTTCAAAATACGCCGTGGGTCCTTTAAAGTAACAGCGGAGTTTCAACATCAGTTGTCACTTCCATATAAAAGGATATGGAAGTGACAACTGATTAATGTGATTACCATTACATTACTTTTAATGTAATGGTAATCACATTAATTACTTTTAATGTGATTACCATTACATTAAAAGTAATGTAATGGTAATCACATTAATGATATCCAGGATTAGAGAAACTAACGATACACTGGCTTGATTCCTAATATAAGTATTTATAAGTAAAATAGACCGAGAAAGGAAAATATATATGTAGCAATGGACCTGACATTACATTTACATGAAATAGCAACATAGGTTGTATATAATTGCATGCGTGTATCACCTGGCAGATGGAGATGACGGCGCGCAGGTCGTGCAGCACCTGCTGCAGCAGCGCGGCGCCGGCCGCCACCTCGCGCTCGAAGAACCGGTACAGCGGGTCCTTGATGTTCTCCACGGTGCGCCGTAACGTCTGCACAATATACATTTGTAACCCTAACTTGTTCGTGTCGTCATACCCATTAAGGGGGACTTGTCACAAATGAATAGACAATGTAACTTGTAGGGAGTCAAGACGTATGCGGTCAGACTGTACGCCCTCCCGCGTTTCGGCCCGTATGACCTGAGGGTCGGTGGGACCATGGGTGGCGGTGGGAAGTATCGCCAAGTCACTTGTATGTGATCAGTGCTATTTCATTAACTGACAAATTTATTGTAGTTATACGAAGATCTAAACACTGAGGTTTAGAGCCAATAAAAATTGTATCTATTGGGCATTTTCTATACATGTACAATCGAGGAATCTAGCAGCTTTCCACCCTAAAATACATAATTAACTTCTACCTGATTAGTTATAAAAGAAGAGGAGGAGTTTGTGTTGTTACAAGGTACAAGTCATTTTTCTTTAAGTGGTACATTAAGGATTTTAGCAACTATTCATATTTGCTAAGTATTGTTTAATTTTTCAATGACATAATATATATAATGTATTTACCGGCAACTCCTTGGGCAAGAGCTGGAGCCAAGCCGTGGCTGTCTGGTGCAGAGTCTTCATCCAGGCCGGACGCCCGTCGCCCACCACCACTATAGCATCTGGAAAAAATATTTCTTAACTTTCTCCTTCATGAATGTCTAAAGACAAAAATATCATCATTTCTCTGTCATTCCACTCAATCAGCGTCGGCGCAAGTGGTTTTCATCTTCAGGTGTTGTAACATTAAAAAAAGTTTTAATACAATGCTCTTTCCAAATTAGAGAGAGAGAGACGAATAGTGAGAGAGAATAACATACAATCATACAATATAAAACAGTGTTTTTTTTTTCAATAGATTCTCTTACTTTATTTCCAAGTAATATAAATAAATATTAATAAAATAATCTATAGAAATGATACTTGAATAGTATGTATAACTTACTAGGATCGTCTTGCACGGCGTTGTAAGCGAGCTCCTCCTCATCCTCTAGTTGCTGCATCTTCAGCAACTTGGAGACCAAGTCGCTGCCTTGAGTAGTCAGTAGAACCTGTGTTTTTCAAATTATATAATTCTTGTTCTTTATAATTTAACTTTTTTTTTGCTGGAGAGATATAGTGAGCTGGTGAAGACTGTGCAGAATATTATGGCAAACTATTGCCACACGTCAAAATATTTTATTAGATTGTATTTACCTTCTCGGCATTGTTGGGCAGCCCCAGCCAGGAGGGCGTCTGTCTGTCGGAGAGGTCCTCTATCCACTTGAGGAAGTGGTCGCGCCGGTTGCCGTCCGGCATCGTGATGTGACGCTGGTTGCCGCTCGCCTACATGTTACATTGACAATTTTTAATATATTCC